GCCATAATTGGGTACTCTGAATGCAAGACTGAAGAATAATTAACAGCCACCCCTCAGACAAAAACAAGGTGCAGAGTTGATTCTTTCTGGACGTTGTAGTCAGAAGGGGTGTGGCTGTCTTCCAGGTACTTGCCTGCCAAGGTGAGCCTCTGCTGGTCAAGTGGGATGACCCCCTTATACTGGACCTTGGCCTTTGCGCTCTCAGTGGTATCACTGGTTCCACCTCCAGAGTAATGGATGTGCCACTTAGGGTCTTTATGAAGAATTGCATTTTGACCTGTTGGTGGTGTGTAAAATAATGGGATCAACAATGAATAGCACTCCCAGCACTGCGCTTTGTATTGTTATGTTGTGGTTTGATTTTTTAAAATAAATCACCAGACTTTTGAACTGCTAACCCAAATGCAATACCTTCTGGCAGTTCTTCCACCAGTAGGGCTGCTGGAGAAAGATGGATCGTCTCCTCTTTTGTGATTTACAGCCTCTGAAATGCTACTGGCCAGCTGTGAGTTCTGACTCAACATCAGTTGGTTTGTGCTTCATTTTTTAGTTCTTCCTAGTCTGTCTCAATTTGGTTTCTAGTTGGTGTTGGAGAGGAGTACCAACTACCCCAGGGACTTCCAAAAGAACAAGTATCTCCTGGAGAAAGTACAGCCAGAGTGCTCCTTGGAGGCAGGGACGGTGAAGCCTCCTCTTACACATACTTTGGGCATGTTGCTAGGAGAGGCTATTCCTTGGAAAGGAACATTAAGCTTGGGCGGGTGGAGGGATGGTGAAAGAGAAGACGACCCTCAATGAGATGGATTGACAGTGATGCAGCAATGGTTTCAAGCGTGCTATGCTGAGAAAGGCACATGATAGGGCAGCTTCAGATCTGTGGTTCATAGAGTAGCTACGAGTTGTACTCAACTTGACAACACTTAATAACTGAAGCAGCAGCAGCAGCAGCAGCTCAGTTTTTAATCTCTGCAGAAACCTGTTTAGTTAGCATCGTGGCCCACACATGGGCCTCCACTGACAGTGGCCGCAGCTGTGTTGGGGTCCACTGTCTGGGAGCTGAACCCAGGTCTCTCTGTTCAAAGGGCCTCCAAGGTAAACATGACAGCCGCTGTGGTCACCACTACTGCAGAGGAAGTCAGAAGGTTTGCTGTCAAGCGGTAGCTATTAATAGGCAGGCGTCACTACTAAGAACAGTAAGTGGTGGCCGCAGGCCTCGGAATGGCCACATATACATTTACTGGTGGCCTAGGTGGTGCCCTGGAAGTGACTCACCTCAGGAACCCCTCCTCCCCTGCAAACAGTCCCCTGACCCCACAAGCTGCAGAGGTGGAGGCTGAGGAAGGCCTGGCTTTAAGAGAGCAGATATAGACAGGGTGTGACATGCCTGAAGCTCCAGGTAAAGTCCATTCAAGAGGGAGTTTTTTCCCATACAGGCAGCTCAGAGAATCATGGCTCAGGCCTCACCACAGGGAGCGGTCCCCTGATTCCCCAAAGAGAGGTGTTTTGGTTGTTTTTGTTTTTTTTAAAGAATTTTTTTTTATCACTGGCTGTTCTCATGTCAAAGAGTGCAGGGTAACACAATGGAATACTATGCTGCACTGAAATATACAAAATGAGTGACCCTGGAGGACATTATGCTGAGTGAAATATCTCAGTCAAAAAAAGGACAAATACTGCATAGGGTGACTACTGTAAAATGGGACAGACATCGGGGTTGAGGGTAGACTGGGAAAGGGGGGGATAAATAATGTACACCGCACTGAAACAGATGAGGGAGAGAGCTGTTTAAAAAAAGATATATGATTAGGTATTATTGTCATGAGAGGAGTCCAGAATGAAGGCTGCACAGTGGAGTGGACTTGGGGGGAGGGAATGTGTAACAATGAAAGAATTTTTCTTTTACATTTCAAAGAGGAGAGTGAATTGGGTGGAGTGGTGGGCAGGGAGAGAAGTGCAACAATGAATGATGGAAATCCAAAGTCTCTATAAACATTCATTAAAATGAATTTTTAGAGTGCAGGGCAGTGTTCTGCCTTCTCTATAGTGAGTCACCCCTCTCCAACATGCACCTGCTTTGTACTCGGGACTTCCCACCGCCGCACCCACCCTGGTCTCTTTGATGGCATGCTGGCCTGCACCCACCACAGGGGTGCAGGCACCCACTACAAAGCCAGGAGGGGCCTGGGAACCTCGGGGGAGCCTGGGGAGTTGGCACAGGCGACAGAGGGGCTCCAGAAAAACACCTCTGATGACAGGTTAGGATGACAGGGCTGATCCGCCAGGAGCAAAGGCCTGCGGGTATTTGCGTATAGCAACACGCTTCAGCGCTTCAGCTTTGCAACTGCTGCTCCGCTTTCAGACTCCACACCAACTTCACAGAGAACAAAGGGGAGAAGAGGAGCCAGCCGGGAAGGCCGCTGGGGACGCAGGCTGGCCGTGACGAGGCTCTGCCTGGCCAGTGCTGCAGGTAATCAAAGACTTCTTCCTGGGAAGGCCTGCTCTGAAGTGGATCTCTGTTCCCACTCGGCGGCAGGTGGAACCCCATGTCCTCAGGAATCTTGTCTCACTCTGAGGCACCTGATGTCAGATGAACTCAACTGTGGCCGAACTAGTAGGTGAGGAGCTACGGTTCTAGTTCACCGACTGCTCCTCGGGAGAAAGATGGGCCATCTCCTCCTCTATGCATTTACAGCCTCTGAAACCCCCTCGGGGATCAGCTGTGAGTTCTGACAACAACAACAAACAACAAACCATTTTGACATCACACGAGATTTTTTTGGGAAAAGACAATTCATACTTGCTAGAAATGAAAATGGATGTCCACACACAAAAACCCCTTGCCAAGAATGTTCACAGCAACCTTATTCATCATCGTGGAAACCTTCCTCATGGGCACTAAATGCCCATCCACAAGGGAACGGATGCACAAAAGGTGGAACATTCACTTCACATTATACGACGCAGCAATAAAAATGAACTGCTGAGACAACTAAGAGCAAAGACAAGAGTCCTGAGCAAAATAAGTCACTGACCCAGCACACGTGGCGGGCGTCTTTTACACGAGACTGTGGGAAGGGTGACACTGACCGATGAAGGGAGAAATCAGAACAATGGCTGCACTGGGGGTGGGGGTGGGAGGGAAGAAGGTCATGAACCAGGAAGGAGTAGGAGAGAACTGTCCAAGGTGAGAGAAAGAGCCTCCATTCCTTCTGGGTGGTGGTTACATTCAGTGCAGGGGGTCATTTCCAACTCACAGTGATTCCCCACTGCGTGTCCAGAGCTGTCAAGGGCGGCAGGAGGAGACTGCCCATCTCTCTTCTGAGGGGGCGGCTAGTGGGGCTCCCATCATCAGAGAGATCTAGCCATTAGGACATTATGCTGAGTGAACTATCTCAGTCACAAAAGGACAAATACTGCATGGTGCCACTGTTGTAAGATGAAACTGATATCAGGGTTGAGGGGAGACTGAGAAAGTGGGGATAAATAATGCATACTGCACTGAAACATATGAGCGAAAGAACTGTTTAAAATGGATATATGATTAGGTATTATTAACAGAGGAACTCACTGCAGACTGTCCTGCCCCTGCCAGCGTTCCCTGGCGGTTACAGGGTGTCTCACTCACCGCTGTGGAGTTGGAACCAACTCAGAACTGCCCCTCCATGGGATTTCTGATATCGCAATGGCAACAGGAGACTGCTCGTCACCCCAAGGAGCTGCCAGTGGCTTTGAAGCACAGCGAGGCTTAGCCTTTGGGTGAGCAGGGCCACCCCCTGCAGACTATGCCCCTAGCACTCCTTACACAAATCTAGGCAACTATCAAAACACACTGAATGGGGCAGTTCAGGTCTGTGGACTTCAGTGCATGTAATTGTCACCTCAGAAATCAGAAGAAATGATGAACCCATAATCTCAAAGCTGAGCTTTGTGTTTTCCCTTGGGCTTGATAACACCAGGGGCTCTGATGGCATAATGTGTTATGCTGCTAACACAAAGATGGGCAGTTCAAATCTACCAGCTGCTCCAAAGGAGTAAAATGGGCAGTCTTTTACTGCAAAGACTTAGAGCCTCAGAAAGTCCATAGAGAGCTCCTCTGAGTCAGATGGACTCCAAGGCTATGAGGTTTTGTTCAGTTCAGTTCAGTTTGATCTAACCTTGAGTAAGTTCTCTGAGCTTCCTGGGTTTCCACTGCAGCATCTTTAACAACAGCACCGACCTCACAGGGGTCCCTTGAAGACACACATTGACACTTACACATGGGCTGTGCTTGGAAAAGTAGTGTCTATTTGTTGTTGTTGTTGTTATGTGCCGTCAAGTCGCTTGAGACTCATAGCGACCTTATGTACAACAGCCCTAAACCCTGCTCTATCCTGTGCCAATCTCATTGCCTCCGACACACCCATCCCGATTACCCCAGTCACTGAATCAATCACCTCATAGAGGGTCTTCCCCTCCTGCGTTGGCCCTCCACTCTGCCCAGCATGATGTCCCTCTCCAAAGACCTGTCTCTCCTTACAACATGTCCAAAGTATGTTAGGCGAAGCCCCAGAATCTTTGCCTCCAAGGAGCAGCCTGGTTTAACCCTCTCCAGGATGAATCTGTTTGTTTTCTTGGCAGTCCATGTTACATTCAGTACTCTTCTCCATCACCACAGCTCAAAAGCGTCAATTCTCCTTCTGTCCTCCCTAGTCACTGTCCAACTCTCTGATGCATAACAAGTGATTGCAAAGACCATGGCCTGTATCAGGCAGGCCTTAGTCTCCAGAGAGACACCGTTGCTCTTGAGTACTTTAGAGAGGTCCCTAACCGCAGACTTTCCCATCGCAATACGTTTTTTGATTTCCTGGCTACTGGTGCCAAGAGTGTTGACTCTCTTTTGTACTTTCAACCAGTGAGAAAAAGGGCTTTGAGAACTACCGGGCTCCAGGACCTCACTGGTGGGCTTTCTGCTGCGGGTCCAGTGCCATCGCCCAAGTCCCCAGGGCCTGAGCCCCACTTACTGCTGCTCTTGGTGTAGAGGCGGAGGAGGTCGGCCAGGCAGCTCTTCTTCACCAGCGCCGCACTGCTCAGGCTCTCCTGGTCCAGAATCCGGAGGAAGTCCTCCAGCTCCGTTAGCAGCTGCTCCAGGGCTAGAGAGAGAGGGGCAGACACAACCATTATAGCGACCACCTTCCCGCTGAAGGCCCACCTCCACCCACAGCAGCCCAGAGCGGGCCTGCCCAGGCACTGGCAACACATTTCATTCCCAGCCAGGACATCAGAGCCCCAATTCCTGGGTCACAGTGGGAAGAAAACAGGCCCCTGGCTTTGAGATGGAGGTCATTAGTCCAATGTGAAAGCTGAACCTTTACTGGGCACTCGAGGCCAGTTAGACTGCTGTCTACTGTATCTCCTCCTGCAAACAGCTATCTTCACAGCATTCTTGTGCAAAAGAAGAAAATCTTGCCTTCGAAGTGCCCACTGGCTGTGTGCGCTGCTCCAACCCCAATTCTCTCTGGTGACCTTGGGTTCACTACTTGACACCTGGGCTCCCTCTATAAAATAAGGCATTTAGATTTCAGGCCCTGGAATGCTCCCTCCGTCTCTGAATTCAGGCCCTAGAATTCTCCCTCCATCTCTGAATTCAGGCCCTAGAATGCTCCCTCATCTCTGAATTCAGGCCCTGGAATTCTCCCTCCGTCTCTGAATTCAGGCCCTGGAACGCTCCCTCCGTCTCTGAAGTTCCACCATTGCAAAGGTGATTGTGTGCTTGGAGTAATGACTTTCTAAATCACAAATCATGGCACACCCCAAATTACAAAGCCACTCCTAGGTTCACACCCCAAAATAATTACAAGCAGGAATGCAAAACAGCAATCTGTACACCACTCTCCATTGCAGCACTAGGCATAATAGACAAAAGATGAACACATCCATGTTTCCATTGTTGCTGTTGTGTGCTGTCGAATCAGAACCAACTCACAGCGGACCCTCCAACACATTTAAGAGGCGGTAAATGACATGATAGGAAATGGCCCTTCCCCCTCCCCCCCCATTTCTTTAGTAACTGGTGGATTCAAACCACCTGCCTTTGACTTGGCAGGACAAGTCCTTATAGCGAGGCCACCAGAATGCCTTCAGCAGCAGAGTGGGTAAACTATAGGCAATGTACATATTATGCAGCACAAAGAGGAATGAGGAGTCCCTGAGTGATGCACAAGATTAAGCTCTGGACTGCTACCCTAAAGGCTGGCAGTTCAAACCCACCCAGAACTGTCTAATAAAGACAGACCTGGTGATCTACTTCTGAAAGTTTAGAACTCTACTCTACACACACAGACACCAGAGTCAGAACTGACTGGATGAAACTGGTCTTCCTCATTGCCATCAAGTCGGAAGAGACTCACAAATGATCCTCCAGGGGGCTTTCAGAGGCTGCAAACTACATACAAAGAGATTGCTCATTTTTCTCCCTGGGGGCACCTGGTGGATTTGAACCTCCTGCCTTTGGGTTGGCAGTGCTACTCCTTACCTATGAGACCATCAGAATGCCCTTGATGGCAAATAGAAAATGAAACTTTGATACCAGCCACCAGATGGATGAACTTTGAAATGGTAAGTCACAAAAGGACAAGGATTGGGTGGAGGCTGAGGGAAATCATGGGGTCACAGAGTGCGGTGGGTGGAGGGAGGGGGTGAAGGAATTAGGAAAGATACACTGCTGGAAATATGGGGTAATGGGCATTGATCAATGGTGATTAATTTTTTAAGATACAGTGTATAGGAATGATTGTATGAAACACAATGGGAACAACACCACCAT